GAATATATTTAGTTAGTCTTAACTAATCTGATGCATTTTGGGAGTAAGCTGGTCTAGTGTTTGAGCACGGGGCTTCGGAGTCCGAGGTCCCGGGTTGAAATCCCTCCAATCACCAATTGATTTTATCTATATGGTAATGCGGCAACCCTCTAATACTAGGCTGAAGTAATGTGTAAAACAGTTCCAGGCTAGAAACTAGTGTTCTAGAATGTAAAGGTGGGACATAATATAAATGAAAAAATCTCATACCCCTTTAGACAGAAACGGTTAGTTGAATTGCAAACGGTTTGCTGAATTGTTTGTGAGTGTTGAATCAATATTTTGCCTCAAGCGAATCACGTCGACTAAGTGAGAAAAGTTGTTGAACTTGAAAGCTACTTTACGACTTACACTGTTCGAAGTTAAATACCTGAGAAACAGTTAATACCTGTGATTTTTGTAAAAATAAATGTTACGTATAACTATCACAAATTGTTCGTCATATTTACTATGGTCGCGCTATTTCATTATATTTTCATATTCAAATACTTATAAGTTTAAATCGTTGATAGATGTTATAGACGCTTTTCACGCTGTGAGTCATTTAGAAAAAACACATTATTCGTAAAGAATTTTTTAACTATTATGATAAATTCACGATTCACGATTATTAGAATAGTTAGCGGAATTCTCCGCTTAAGCTTACGTTTACAGGTTACGAAAATGGAAACCTAATGTTTAGGAATGAAACGTTGTTAGCTGTGTAACGATTAAAGACAGATTGAGGTTTCCCTCAATTTGGGAATTGGCTCAATTACTTCGTGAGATTCGCGTCGTTTGTTTCTTAATGGCTCATCGGAGACTTACCTCCCTCCCTGTATTTACCACAGGTACCTTTCAGGTCAGAGGTTTACTTTTTTCATGTTCTGTATTCACAAAATGTGTCCAACAAACAATAATATGCCTGGATTTAATAGGGTGTTTTTCAGTCAATAATTGAGGTTTTATGACTTTTTATTTGGTCAAATACGTCTATATACATTTTGTTTCTCCATTACTGTCCCATTCATTTTACATAAGCTTAGCTTTAAACGTGTAAACAAATTTGCCATTACATACAGACCTGTATTCCAAGTAAGCCAAATATATAGAGTGGGAAAAGGTCCCGGGAACAACTGAGCCCAAAATGACAGCCGTTAAAAGATTCAAAATTGCAAATATATTTTTTTTTTTACTGCTGCAGTTTTCGACTCTATGGTCCATTTAAGTTCGGGTTTGGAGCATGTTATTTTGCATGTTACATCATGCTAGAGCGTTTCACGGTATCATCACGAAGATCAAATCAATTCTTGGCTATTGGTGGGTTTTGAACCCAGGATCTTAGAGATCGGAGCTCACTCCCCAAATGTTTATCTAATGTAAGTGTTTAACTTCATTGACAAAACTAATTCATATATACATTAAGTTCTATCACACTCGTATCACAGTTGATTTTACAATCTATACGTGTTTCTATAATAATGTTATTAAACTTTTGTAATCAAGCAAGTTATAACTTCCTGTGTTACTTGCTTTTTAAAGTGACTAAACAGGATTTCATAAAGGACGCCAGGCTAACCACATAATCTGTAGTATACCGAGTATTTCGCGGTTTTACTATTTGAGTTGAATATGCTACTGTTATGTTGCAAAAACATTTCAGCAAATTTGCAATCAAATAATTATACTAGGCATTTATACTATACTCATTGAGGTAATAAACTCTACGTCAAAGAAAATTCACTTTAATAGTAGTGTACCATTTATTCAAATAGGTCATATTTAATAGCTTTAATGCATTTGTCATTTGTCATAGGTTTGTATTTTCAGTTAATTTTTTATTTTTTAACAAATATTTTACGTACTAGTGTACATGATGCTCTAATTCTCAATTGCAAAGAATTAAAGAAGTTATTTCAAAACTAATAACCGTCATTATTTACAATGAGTTTAAAAGAGTCAACTCAAAGATTACCGGCATGTAACTCATGGAGATACTCAAGATGTATATAACAGTAATCAACAAGCACTATTCGTCAGTAGTATGTTTCAAAAGAATGGCTTTTAATTGTTAACTTCAATTGGGTCCTTTTATCGAAAAGTTTGGTTAGGTTTGGTTAGAATGTATCCTGCATCATCATTACGTTAGTTAAGAGGCTAAAGTGTGGTGTTTAGCAGGCTCTAAGTCCTGCCAATCACTAATTGCAAATTGATGGTTGGTAATCACTTAATCCTGTAATTTGTTGAATGCCCCGGTCATGGACTATGCTAGAACCACCTATCTAAGAACCGAACATGTCTGTGTACTATTAAACCACTCCATCGAACGACATACTGTACATATATTACAATTATAACTAAGGTCCATCCTAGAATCACCTACCAACCGGACATGTCTGTGTACTAGAAAACCACTCCATGGAACGACATACTGTACATATATTACAATTATAACTAAGGTCCATCCTAGAACCACCTACCAACCGGACATGTCTGTGTACTAGAAAACCACTCCATGGAACGACATACTGTACATATATTATAATTATAACTAAGGTACATGTTATAACAAGTCAGTGACATCTAATTGATAATTAAATGTGTTTCTCTTATAAAGAAAATACAGTAAAATTTAGTACTGTAGGTCTTGCATTAATTTGAATATACCATAAAATATTTATATTCACTATATTAATTGTGCAAAATGGTGTATCAGTAAAGGTTTTGCGCATACAATTCAATCGTTTGCAATGAGAGAATGAAATATCACAAATATGTTTGTCAAAGACTGAAAAAAATACTAAGTTGGTTAACGAATGTAATCCCTTTGATTTTTATGTCCATGTTAAATTATTACAATTATTTCTTACTTTTATATTAACGAATAGTTTTTTTTTTTATCCTGTTAATTAATCCTCTAAACTGTGTGGTAATCAGATCATGAGTTCATAGCTTTCAGTTAAACGTGCAACCATCACTCAAAGTCAGCTTAGACTCTGCTTACTGCTAGGTTGTGAATTATGCAGGCTTGTAAATAAACTTTACAAATTAAATAAACAGTCTATTTTATTATAGAAAATGTATTAAATGCACTAAAAGTGAAATTGTTAACATATATTATCACACAAATACCTGTTCGACATTAATATTTATTTTATCGTGTTCTATTATAATAGATCAATAATATTTTATGAGCACATTCATCAATATGCTATGTGATTTATTAGTCCTTCATTTATTAGCTTTCAAAAACACAAATTTTACATTTTTCATTCAAAAAGATATTCTTTCATATTTTTTTCTGAATTAAGTCTTTGAAATTGTCCATACAATCACACATGAATAGTGAATCGACATGTTCTTCATTAAAATTATATTTACTTTGAGGTACCTTGCAAAAAATGTTATTTATTGATACGCATTACATCACAATGAACATTTACTTCAGAAGTAGTCATTTTCTTACGTAGCCTATATATACTTTTGTCGTTAGATTTTTACAAAAATTATGCCAATTATTCTTTTATAGTGTGTTTTTATTTTATTTATATGGCCTCCTTCATACGATGATACTTGAGGAGGACTTGTTTGAGGAAGGATGTGATGGTGTTTAATTCCGTTCAAACTTAGCAGTATTAAAAGGCTTATGATTAAGAGGGAATGAAGTATTTAAAAGTATTTCACACTTTTCATTGTTCATCTTTACTATTTTTTCGTAATCAAAAATTTTTATAGCGTTTAAAAAGCAATTTAATCATAACTAAATATTGAACGTCAGCCAATTTTACTAAACGTGTCCAGTCATTATTAGGCCAAAATAGTCATTTATTTACCTAAACATTAAATGAGACCTAACCTTTTGACCACAAAGCATTTACTATATTATCACGATTACTGAACCATTTTGATAAAAAGGTTCAAGTCACAAACGACGAAACGCGACCTCAAAGCTAATGAAATCTTGTAATCCTCAAACTTTTCTTCCATTTCAAACTGCCTTAATTCACTTTCATCCCTGGTCCCGCTTCAGCTTACAGCTTGTCTTAACATTCAATCGTGTTTAATATAAATTATTCTTTTGATTAATTTTTACTTTCTTGTTCGGTATATCATTAGTCGATAGTTAATCATGTCATTAACTATCATGACTAAGAGTTTTTGTTTTAAGTTTTAATTTAAAAAATATATCACTATGGTAGTTGGTTAGTAATTTTCTTCTTTTAACACTAATTCACTGTGTAACGAAAAAGTTAAGGATAAATAAATCACCTCCATTTCATTAACAATTCGAGTAATTTAGTGATATGAGGTGTTTAATAAATCAATCTACATTCTATGCATGCAATAAATATAAAAACTAGTTTAAATTCAATATAGTTTTTGCTAAATTATTCGTATTTATTAGCTCTTAAGTAAATAATTTGTTGATCATTTTTTCTTGTAAGTTTCAAATAACTTCCGTTCTCATCATCCCCCTATAACGGTAAAAGTAACCTTAGGTATGGTGATACCTGCGGAAAAATATTTCTATACCCTACATAACATTCTGCCTAGATTTGCATACTACTGTAAAAGGATGAGCAATAATACGATTTCATTTGTATCAATTGTGTGGTCCAGGTACTTCAATATACATGCTTTCGTCCTGACATCTCAATCATGACTTTGTTATTGCACCTCATTATAGCGTACAACCTTTGACTATCCAAAAGTCACGATACAACTTAGGGTTGTGGTTACATATGTTTGCATTACCAAAAATATTGTTTTAATGGTAATGCAAAAAGATATTTTCCACTTCGTGCTATCGATTAATGACCTATTAGTCAATAAAATTTTGAATAGTAAATTTAATAACCAAACTTTGGAACAGCCTATGACGTCATTTGAGGTCTACTTAACAGAGGAGTAATGTGCATTATTGTATATAAACCAGGTGCACAGCTGCTGTATGGATTGAAATTATTTTCTTTTGTTTTCAGGATGCTCGAGTATTGTTTGAATGTGGAGAACATTAACCTGACAGCCATCAGAACTATTCGAGTACTAAGACCACTACGAGCCATCAACAGAATACCGAGTAAGTAGCTGATTATTACATTGATAAACATTCTGTTGTTGACTATACCAAAACAATATTCAGAGGGTTAAACTCGTGTAAGATCGTCCATCGTTGTTTCTTAGGAGTTGTTGTGGACGCAATCGAGTTTTTATTATGATTACCTATCAGTATTTATGAGAATCTGGAGTTCTCATATTAATACAGCGACCAATTAAGTATTAAACACCTTAAATACACTTATTTTAACAAGTTAACATAAATAAATTACCATAGCAGTTTATTTTTTCATGTGAAATTTCCATAGCTTTTAAATGCATATTTTAACTTGAACATGACTCATTGAATTCGAGGGGCTTACGGACAAAAATATCAATAAAGCTGTAAGTTAGTATAAAAAGAAATACGTTGTAATGCAAATTTGTTTTAAAACTCAAATATTCGCAACAGTTGCACTGTTCTGTATTTCATCAAAAGACTGATAAATAAAGTAGACTTAAATGCAAATGTTTTTATAAAACTCTTCGGATAGAAATAGTGTTTTATGGAGTAAATACTATTATTTATATAAAGGGTTGTCATCGTATGGATCTGAAAATGAATTGTATGGCCCACTGCATCCCTTAGAAACTTTAAATGTTATTAATCCTAAACATAAACTGGAAAAATAGGGAAATAAATTATTCAAAGACCTTTTTATGAAAATGAAGAAATTCCAATATAGAAATATTGGCCAAGGAGTTAAAGGGGTTTATTGGAATGAGTTGGAATGTCTGGTGCACTGGAATAAACCTTCAACCAATGAGAATCGCGATATTTCTTTACGGGCTTCAATAAAGTTTGTTAATAAACATTTGATGGGTACCTATAATGTATTAATTCAAAACTATAATTTGACCTTGTTTTTCTGCATTAAATTAAATTTAACAGCAACTTCAATTAATCTAAAACTGTTTCAACTTTGGGCTGTTTAGGTAAAAGATTGTAGATTTCTTGATTAAAATCGTTCACCTTAGGATTTGTCTTAAAACTATTACCAAACGATTAACTTATACTGTAAAAAATACAAGATGATGAATACCAATAAATTCTGTAATCCGATCTTATGATTTTTACTCAATAGATAATTTTTTACATTTTTTAGGTGTATTTCAGTCAAACCAGTGTTAAAATTAGGATTGCATTTTTTATTAGTTCTCCCTTAGTTCCTTAAGACCATTAGAACCCATACAAAAGATCTATATGATCACATAATAATGTAGGATCGTTATCATAATTCTACTGATAAATATAATTTTAGTCTTGATAATTTACCACGATGGTTTATACGTTTTTATTATTTTTTAACCAATCAAGTACAAATTATTAATATAATTAATATAATACAAATGTATTAAAAATAATGTTCTGTTAAAATGCAGTATCAATTTAAAAATATATAATTAGAAATTTGCGTTGCTTTGTGATTGGAAACAGAGTGCATAGCTATTTTAGTGGTTAAAGCTCAAGACTTTTTTCTTATGAGGTGTAGTTTAAAAACTTATTAATCACTAGTGGTGCTTTAAAGTTTAAAATCCTGACATTAGTACAAAATCACTAATTGTAATTTATTACGTAATGCGTTTATGACCCGGTAAATTAATGGTTGCCTTAAACTCTACATCAACCTGTAATACGAAAACCTCTTGTGTGAGTAACCATTTCTTTCAATGAAGGCCATGTTTTTGCAAAGTTGCCTAGTATATGAAATTAACAAAACTATAAACAAATTTAATTCAACAATAAAGGTAAAAGGTATGATTATTATGAAATTGCATGGTACTAAACAGGTGCCTAAAGGAAATTGTTTGAAGAATGTTTTGCTACGCTTGACCCTCTCCGGTCAATAATAGGATTGGTGGCCGACACAAAACAAGGTTAACCCTGCCTCAGTAAAGATTACAACGGTCCAGGGAACATCGAATGTTACGTTAAGTTAACAATGTAGGCCCAATGTTGTACAAATATCTCATACAATAAAAGGAAGTCTTAGACTCAGTAATGTGATTGAAAATCATTGAATAATTTGTAATAGATAACATTGGAAATTGTATGATTTAGTCAGTGTATATTGGAAATGTTGGATTGAATTTAAATGTTAGGTTAATACCGTTAAAGTTAATACCTATTTTTCCCTGATTATCAAATTAATTACCCATCAGATTCTTTGTCTAAAAAATAGTAACATTGCTAAATAAAAACTTGCTTAAGGTGTAGAAATTTTATTTGGTGTAGTCTTCATACTAAAGATTTAAACGCAAAATATCCATCAAGCAATATTATTTTCAATCTAAATTTACTTTCCTTACTGTCCACTGATAATTCATAGATATAATTATTGTATAAGGATTTATTTACATTTATGCTATGGATGGTTACAATCCTCCTTACATTTTTTTTGTCTTAGAACGCTTGGCTCTAGCCTGGGTTAATTTTTTCTCATTACGCCTGGAATTGCGTAGTTACCCTAGCGTAGTTACTCTATGGCAGTATCACTTAGATAAAATGCAGTGATTTGGAGGGATTTGAACCCAGGAGCTCAGGGACCGAAGTCCATTGCTCTGCCACTAGACAAGCTCACTCCCCCAATGGTTGCAATCTTCCTTACCTTAATGATCCTCCTTGAAGATTACGAATTACAACTTTTACGCTGAACGATAATAAATTGAAGACGTTGCTGAGTAGCACACACATAATAAAACAAACATCTCAAACTCCAAAATTTTTGTGGAACTGATATGATAAATCATTCAGAGGTTTACAACCATTTTATATTGTAATGCTAGTTTTAAATACCTCTATTGTTTACCTATACACTTAACGGCAAATACTAGTACATTTATTCATGTGTTGGTGTGCCAGTGTTACACTACATACAAAAATGTTTGCTTGATATCATAAAATATTTTTAACCACACTAAAATGTTTTAGCCGTTTTACATAAGTTTCTTGGAGGCCGAAAGCTACGTATTGCTGTCCAAGGTCTATATGCCAGCTGTCATTGTCGATTGGGGACCGAACACGGGTTTTACATCCCGAGGACCGAATACACAGTGGTTTGCTTATTTAAACAGCGTAATAATTAAAACATGAATATTAAATTCACAAGCAGTATGCATATGCATTGCAATAGTTTTACTGTCACCGCTGCCTAGGCAGCTATTTATTGTTATCTTTGCCGATTTCTCAATATATTTTACATAACCTTAAAGTTGAGGTAGTGTTGACTGTAAGTGTGCATTATTATTTTGGTGAATAGTGGTAATAGGGTATAGTGTGGTGAAAAATAGCGTTCGTACCACGGGCAGAAATAATTTTGAGGCTCTGGATTGTTTTAAGTTCTCAACAGAGCTTGGTCTAATCTGAAATAAAACTAGACTATGCAATACTTTGATATTATGCAGCTCACAAAGGAAAAGTGTTAAAACTGCATCGAAGTAAAATATATCACTAAATAACTTATTTAAGTAACTTATCATAGGATTTAAATCGGTACAATTTTCAACATGCCACCATTTTGTTTCTACAAATGTTAGACAGCTGAGATGTTAAAAAAATATTTTTAACCCCGTTATAAAAAAAAGGCTTTGTAGGGTTTCAAAAGGTTCATTGCATATTGTATTAAAATGTAGAAAACATAAGTACGGTAATTAAAAAATAATCTAAAGCTTTTGTAGTGCTAATTTTATTTTAAGCTTTAGAGTAGGTAGAACTAAATTTTTTGCTTAATTATGTCATTGGCTATCAACTATGGTAACCTTGTTAATGTAACTAATTAGTACAGGATTTAAATGTCACAAATGTTGCAAACTCAATTAACATAACTGTTTATTAGTTTTATTCATTCCCAGTCAATAACAGAAATTAAATAGTTAATATGACACTTGCATTTAATTACAACTGAGTTGACTAGGGTGCGTTGGGAATAAACATTCATACGTTTAATTTACAAATCACTACCTAACTCGTTGTGATTTTGTAATATATTTAATAATAATATTCATATTGTTAGGCATTAACAAAATGATTAATTAAATGATTAATTAATTAATTAAATTAATTAATTTAATTAATTAATTAAATTTTATAAAATGATGCTCACTTTTTCGAGGGACACTACAAACATACGTTGTAAAAATATTCAAAATACATAATTACTAACTCTAATTATTACCCTAAGCACTATACAATAACTCTAGGCATCTAAGTAGCTATGTAGGGGCTTAAGGTACGTTTTGCCTGAAGCGACAGGTGCGACGGTCGCGCAGCGACTGTCGCCGAGCGGCAGTCGCGGGATGGTAGACTGTTTTGCTTGGAGCGACAACTTCTTTGGCGTCACGAGACGTGGTACCGTCAGTGCACCTAACCTCAAAAGTGCTCACTAAGTATGAAGTCACTAAATAAAATCGATAAATTCACTTAGTAAAACAGGTAAAACTTAACAAATAAAGTATTCCTTATATGCCTAGTTATTTGTTATAAGAAACATTCCAAAACTGCCATGTCACAAGCCAAAATGTAATAAAATTACTCAATTTCTCCGTAAATTGCAGTACACAAGCATAACTTGAATTGGAAATCAGTGTTATAAACAACCTCCTCACAGAGTGAAAATTATATTTTATTGATTGTATTGTAAATGAAAAAAATACCAATTACATTATATACTCCATTAATATTTGAATAACCACATTACTTTAATAATTGGCATTTTATATATTTAAATATGACACGCCTGACTTTTAAGCCAATTTGATCAATAACCATTTATACAGAGCAATATTTTTTTGAATCACCTAAACGAAAATTTAATTAGAAGTCTTTTAAGTCGACAATCTAAATAACCTAACTTACTAATATATTAAAATAACTTGTAAAATAATAAGACCAAAGAAAAAAGGACAACGTCAGGTTTAAACTAACCTGACGTTGTCCTTAATTCTTTGGTCTTTGTAGGAGATATGTTTCAAATCATAAAGCGC